CAGAATAGGAAGACTCCTCCGGACGGAAATGGTAACAAAAAGGGAAGAGGCAATAAGGAGTTAATTCAAAATGATAAGCCGAAGAATGTAAACGATAAGGGAAATGTAAGACAAATATACTGTTTATTAGCCAGCGCATACCTTCCTCACAGATACCGAATGAGAAAAAGACCTTAAAGCAGAAAATAGCTACAGCTTTAACACACAATGGTATCGCAGAGAAAATTGAGGGCTTGAACGCAAAAAATGAGAAAAAATTGGACCGAGGGATAGATAAACCGAGGCAAGGCAATGGCAAATTATTAGCGAAACAAGAGAGGGGACAAGCAGAGAAAAAAGAGCTGAAGGAAATAGGTATGCTTGAGAATCACACACATTTGTTTACCGTTTACTATACGTCGATCCAGAAATCAGTGCTAAAAAGCCTGATGTAGTGGAGAAAAAGGTCAAGCAGGAAGAAGATGGCAAGGAACAACAGGATAAGAAAGAGTTGCCAGAGAAAAAAGCGAAAGAGTCACAAGATAAGAAAGAGTTGGCGGAGCAAAAAGGCAAAAAACAACAAGAGAAGAAAGATTTGAAACAAAGCAAAGAAGCAGATGTTGAGAAGAAAGGTGGGAAAGCAGTCAATGGCGACGGCGATAAGAAAGGAAAAGAAAAAACAATACAAGAAGACAAAAAACCTCGTCAGAAATTTTTTTGAATCATGCTTGCTTCTAAGAATAGCGGATGATTTTAGCTCAAACGGCAAAACCGAAGAAACCCCACCTTCTCAAGGAAGGAGATGTTTTGCTTGACAAATTCAAGGTTGAAGGATTGCTTGCGGACGGAGGATTTGCACAAGTGTTTGCGTAAGTTGATTTATTCTTGCATTCGAAAAATGTGATGATGGCGCGAGCGCGCGTGACACGCACGCACTTCGCGTTTTTCTTAATGTTCATCCCTACGCGAACGTTTTTTCTGCTATCATATGATAACATTTGGACATTGAAAGTGCTTGAGCTGGGAGCTGGGAGTTGCCTTTTTACAGAGCGTTTTATGCTCGTGTGGGCGCAGACATCCGTCGTCGTAGTTTTATGAGTGACCTATAGCTTCACCTTGTGCAATTTGCCAATTCGCTATCCCTGTAAATTTCTTTCCCCGACGAAGATCATAAGACGAATTTCGAAAACCTTCTAATTTACACTAACACTACTTATAAAAATCGATACGTTACATTCACCGTGCTCTTCCGCTAGGATACACAGATCCTCTTGTAAGCTTCACTACTGCTACATAAGATAAACGCACCAACCTTTTGAAGACTGAGCCAGACCGCGCGGCGTACGCAGCGCGTACTA